TTCGCGCGGTTTCGTAGTTAAATATAGGAAAAGTGGTTTTCGTTCGATGCTACAAACCGTCGGAACGGACCGCTTTTGAACGTTGTTTCGGCGCATTACGCGAGACACGTTGCTGGCAAACTTGTAATTTGCCAGTCTAAAACGTCGTCGTACGTGTGTCCGTGTGCAGAATCGCGTTAAACAGCGAAACCGTGGCGCATCGTGGCGCATAGCCCCGACCTGATTCCCGCGCGAATTAAGACACACTGAGCCACTCTCGATCGTGCAAGACGTGACCATGCTTCGACGTCGTCCTCTCTCTCTGTTTCTCATCATCCAAATTTCTGTTTCACCTCTTTTCGGATCGTTCGAAAAATTTCGCTACTCGGTCGATCGATCTGGACATGGCTCGTCGAGTAGCAAACAATGGGGAAGATTCGAGAATCGTCGACGATTCGATAAGCATTCCGTGGCGGTGATAATGCGTCCAGAGTGATAGATTAACGCGATCAGGAATGAGAAACGAGCCAGGACGAGGACAATGTGCTGGGTCAGCGTGGCGAGGCAACGATTCCCGCGGATGCTCGCGATCCAGCTTCCGAACTGGATACTGCTTGACGATTCGTAGGCGCGCAGAGTATGCTGCTACAATTTATGGATCTAGATCAGAAGCGTTATCGTGTCCATTGGAATGAAACAGATCGGACGTGACGAAAAACTGAAGATAAATTCTTTTCAATATTACTTGCAAAATTTATAATACAAATAATGTTTCAACGTTCTAGATATTTTAGCAAAATATCGAATGATCTCGTTACCGGAAATGATGCTTTGATTGAATCGTTCGATGAATGAAATCCGACGTCAATTTCAGTCGTTAGTTTTTCGATTGTTATTCGAAGGATGCGGTGAATCGTCGATGGCGACATCGAACACCGACATACATATGATTATTCGATCTGGGCCCGTAGATTTTCTCCGTCAATGTGGTTAGAGTCAGCGATGCATTCGATAACGATTTGGTATGCCGCAAACGTTGCCGTGATATAATGAATATGTGCAATTATGCGGGTAGCGAAGTAAACAGCGTAAATTAGTGATTTCCGAGCGTTCACTGTAATCATAATTCTATGGGAATGATATCGTCGTGTCAAAGCGTCGCAATCAGTCTGTCGTGCATGTTTTACGAGCAGCTTCGCTTATTCGTTCCATGTACTGGTCTAATTGAATTTTTCTCTCGCGAATCCGCTATCGGAAGTAATATCATTACGCATTCTAACATGAATATTCGTTTATTATATTCAACGTGATCGCTGTAGACACGCTGATGCCATTAGTTTCGTACACCAGGATTTATAACGTTTGTATCGACTGCGTCAGTTAATCGGTATTAATATCGTAGCCTATTCGACGCGGTCGCGATTCGTTAAAACGCTGATGAAAAAGGGAATAAAGGAAACAATGTGAAAATCGCTGTTCATAGGATTTGTATCGGACAAAAGTGGAATTAAACCGATCGATAGCCTTATAACATAAAACGCGCACTCGATTACCTTTCTTTTGCTCTTTGTTCGTTATTTTCCTCTTGAAAGACTTCTCGGTAACCGTCAAATGTCTGACGAAGAAGCGAAGTGCGAAGTGTATCGAACCGCGAACGAGTCGAAACTCTTTGTTTGTTTTACACGTTCCTGTTATACATTCGTGTGACCTTGTTTTCTACTCTGGTATGACGCAATGACAGCGGAAGTAATTCAGTCTTCCGGAGAGCAGCTTTGTTTATTCGTCCGGACTGCTGACCGACCAGATAATCGATCATGTGTCCAGGGAAAGTTCAACCGATTAAAGTTCGATCATCGTTACGTCGATGATCTATCAAGACGATCTCTTTGCTCGAATAACAAGCGAAAATGTTTCGTTTATTTCCACGAATAAACGCGCGAATGTAAAAGCGATTTAGCCGGCTTAATGATCGGCGCAGTTTTTAAAAAGGAAAACCTCTAAAATGGAACAACCTGTTGAAGATCGAAAGCAACGAGAAAAATGTAGTTTCGAGTTGCAATTAAATTTTTCGGTCGACTCAATTAATTCGAGTTCAATTCGTCGCGGACGATTAACGAGAATTTTCGGCAATTTACCGACGTTCTCGAGAATCGTTTTTGCACGGCGAATTACGTTTCACCGGAGACGTACTCGCGAATGAAACGTGAGAGCAATGTCGATTCCAGCTGTCCTCTCGTTTACATTCGCTTTCCTGAGGATCGGTTTTCGAGAAACGCTGAAAACGCGACGCGAATTCCGCTCGGTTGATTAGCGCGAACCGTTCGCGTTAATATCGCGTGTAACGCCGGGATCGGGGTTCGCTTAGTAGAAAGCACGATTCGTTGAAATTGCGAAGGAATGCGGTACCGATCGAACTTGCAGTCCACTCGACTGCCATTTAGCCGGGGGTAGCTTTCGGTACGCTGCCACGGCTAAAACAATTACCGCAACTGGCACGTTTCCTGGACTTCATTCGTTACTTGAACGCGGCCGCTTCTGTCATCCGTCGTTATTTGCTCGTCGCCTTATTAGCTATCGATTTCTCGTTTAGCGTGTCGCTTAACGGTCGACCGTTAAGACTTATGAATGGCTTATTTTAAATTGCACGATTTAATTACAGCAATTAGTTATTTAAATTACGGATAGCTTCTGTCGAAACGTATACTATCTTTCGTCGAGATGAAAAACGATTATGCGCGGTAGTTTATGTTGCACGCGCGCGATATAATTCTCCGGTGTAACGATAAAAATTAGAGAGATTCGATAGGATGCGCGGTAGCAATTTCGTCGGTAACCCGGTACGTTCGCTGTTGGTAATATTTAGTAAGTATCTTGGGAGTTTGTAGCGGTAGTTACACGCGTGTAGGTAATTCGTTGAAAAAGTTCCGAGTAACACGTCCCGTGCGGCTTTCAACCGGAAAATCGTGCGGGTCGATCGATCGATTTCCTCTCGTAGCGGACTGACCTTCCGTATGACCCTGCCCGCTCGTTTCCACCCATATAAAGCCTCTCTCTTTTATCGTGCCTCGGGATTGATAAAGTGCGATAGCTCGATACGTTTTATGGGAGAATATAAGCTCGTATGAGCACTTTCCGGGAAATAAATTGAACGCTTTGCGTTTGTATTCCGTCGGAACTTCGTTCCTTTAATTCAGTTTCTTGCTGAAACTGAACGGTTTTCTCTTTTCTCCGAGGCTCGAGTACTTACATTCGGGTTATTTCGAATTCACGAAACGCACCTGGCTGGAAATACAGTCCGCGTGAAAATAATAAATCGTGACAAGCACCTATTGACTGGTCTACGATTAATTTCGAATCGTTTGTATCGCGAAAACGACGACGCATCGTGAAACGATAAAAAATCCTTTCGTTCGTTTCGATGTGCAGAATTTGCAATTTCCGTAATGCACGATTTGTGTACGGTATTCTATACATAGAGTCTTGAATAATAGACCGAAGTTTATCACTAAAGTGCTAAAAGGACATCTCTTTAGTCGTTTAATTGAAATGGAAAATCCAGGATTCGAAGCGTTTAATTAATACTAAATGATTCGGATAGCTCTCTTTGTCATTCGGCGAGGCTCGCGATATCCACCGCGTTAAACAAATTAAAGCGGCTTCTCTGAAGCATTATCGGGGCTATTTGCTCGTTCTCGAACGACACTGAAGTGAAAAAAAGGAGAGAAAGGAACGCGAGGTGGATGAAAAACGTGGAATGGTCGTGTCTGTAAATCGAGGAAGCCCGAGGTATCCAGCAATTTGCGGACTGGCTCGGGAGAAGCTCTCTCCTTTCAGACGTTTCACCTGCTCCTATGAATCAAGTATTTTGCAGAGCCGCTCGATAAATTTTCAATGACATCAGCGTAAAAAACGTCGCCGCTATTGTCTGGAAATCAGGTCGTCGCGACGGCTGAATCCACTGACCGCGGATGGGGTTGGGGTTTTGTAACCCGACACATTTTAAATTCGTTACTATGAAAGAACGATGGGAATTTTTCGGAGAAATCGCGGACGAGATCCGATAGATCGAGTTTTTTTCATTTCCCCCTGGAAAAATTAATCCGTCGCGTTGTTTGACCACGTATTAGAAATTCTTCATCCCGCGAATAACCTAAATCTTTGTCGCGAAAATAAAATGGAAAGAACGTTGCTTTTATTCTTTTAATTGCTGTACATCGGCAAAATCGTATACCTTTGAGGAGGGAACAAGCACAAGTGTTTTAGGAAACATTGTTTCGCGCAGATTCGAGACACGTAAGATTGGATCGCGGCGAACTGAATCGAGCGTAACCGAGTTGGAAAAAATTTCGGAGAAAATGTTACGAATTATCGAAAGTCGGATCTATCGCGGATGATTAATTTCCTAACGCGATTTTATCGGTAAATTTAACTTTTGGAGCGAGAGTGGAAAACCTTGGAGTTCTACGACATTTTCAACGCGAAGTTTGTGCCCTTTTCGGGCGAGTACCAGCAAATCCTTTCAACGAAATCTACTCCCTTTATCGACTCCTTTACCGTCGCGTTTTTTCCTCGTTTTTGTTTCGAGACTCGACGCATGTTAACAACTTCAACCCCTTCGCTAGAGGGTGCATACAGAATCGACTGTGAACCTTTGAACAGCACTTTGCGTCAGTCGGCTCCGTCAATTAGGAGGAAAAGGGAAGTTTCTTTCCGTTCGGTTTCTTTTTGCCTACGTTTTGTGCGCGATTCCTTCCTGCACTCGCAATGGGAAAACTCTGCTCTTCGAACAAGAGCACTTGGTTAAAAAATGGTATAGAAATTTTGAGGAAAGAAAACTTCCGTATATATACGCATTAATACGTTTCTCTTGATGTCACATACAGACAAAGATTCGTAAAATGCAGATGAGACAATGTAACAAAAAAATTATATTACTGTACCACAATCTTAACGTAATCTCATTGCAATAGTTTACGCAATTTACCAGAGCGAAATTAGAGAGTTATTTCTTTTTGTTTCAGGCTCGACCAGCCGGTGACCAGCTCGACGTCCGGAATGGACAGCAAAAAGGTGCGAATTAAATATGAAATTTAAGACTTTGATCTAAGAGGAAATAGTACGCAATTCTCCTCTGATAATAGCTATCGATCCTCTACTTGGAATAGTACAAACTCTAGAGTACAATCTTAGAGGGATATTCCGTCTACTTATCAGTAGCGAAGTTGTACTTCTAGAGAGCGATCTATCCGCTTCATACGGGTTTATGGTGGCTGTAAAGGAGCTCCTGGTAGTCTCTGATATAGAACTTGGTTAGTAGTTAGCGATGTCGTTCGAAGTTAACACGATTAAATCGACGCGATAAGGGTTCGGAGTTAATGCAGAAACCCTAGTGAATTAACCAGAAACTTTAAATGTTTCCAGTTACATGGTTTGCTCTTTAATTACCTGTCCGCGTAGGTGGCTCTTTGATGAATTGCTTCTCGCTACTCGCTATTTAATCGGTTCAGCGAGTCGCAGCTGTGTAGCTTACTGAATTTCGATAGCGTTGCGGTCAATTTTAGGGACATTGAGTTGCTACGACTACTCGTTGCAACGCCACGCGATGCGTCTAACTTTCGATCGAAATAAATAGTTGCGAAAATTATAGGAGCCTCGTTTACTCGAGATAGCTGCGTACGGAACAAAGAATAAAGGTAATTGGTCGGTGCAACTTTCGCCACGAGTTTTTCTCGAATCACGAAACGAACTTTCTCGTGAATACGTTCGATCGAGGAGTTTCGACTCCGATCCCTCTTCCGAATCCTGTGCAAGTACTCCTTGATTTAACGAATCTTTTAAGCGAATCTTCGTCCTCCCGTCCGCGCTACTTGCCGAAAGAAAAGCTTTCCGTCCGGATTTTCCGACTGCGAGTTACGCGTTTTGTACGGCAACAATAACCTATGAAAAACAAAGCGGTGTTTGTTTTCTTTCGTTTTCAACAGACATCGCGGTAAGGACCGCTGTTCATTGTTTTATCGAGAGATTTTGCGTGATTCTGCGTGACTTTTGTCAATTATAATTTACAATGTCTTTTGAATTTCGTTTTACCTTTCGCAAAAGAAGTAATATTGATTAACATTGATTTTTTCGTGGAAACGTGTCGCGTTACAAAAACGAAGTCTTTGGCCATATAACGCTAGAGCAACGCCTTAAGATAGTAATAAACGTAATTATAAAGTAAATATAAATACTACCAGGATAAATCTAACTTTTCCAGCTGCGCAACGCTGCCAGCTTAATATAAACTTTTATATATTTAAATATAATTTTCCAACGCGTAATTATAAATCCCCGATAAATGTAACCTTTCGTAACAGGAATTAAAAATAAATGCACGAGTTGAACTCCGTAGAGCTTTGCCCATAAAAATATCTGAATTTGCGAAACTAAATGAGCAGAATATTAAAACATCGTCGATTTAACGATTTCGTTGCTTCGCTTCGTCTTGAAAGAAATTAATTACATTAACTCTGTGTTCGGAACAAGCGTAATCGTAGCAAATCTTCCGTAGTAATATCGGATACGTTAACTGGGCAAAACGACGGAAGCAAAAAAGAAGGAGAGAACATCTCGTAAATTTCTTGAAGCGTTCACTTCCCTCCTGAAAGCTGCAATCGATGAAACTAGTTTGAAAAAATAGAGAAGAACGTTCTCGTTGAACGAGGACAAGTGTTTCTCAGGGAAATCGGTCCACGGTCTATAGTCTATACTTCTGTACAATGAGAGTTCACGAGAAGCCGATTACGTTGGAGGAGTGGTTGTTCTCGTCCAGTTTCGACCAGCTCGTTAGTTGGTACAGTTTGGATTTAACGTAGAAATCGAGAAGTAGCAGAAAACTCAGTGGTCTGTGAGCGACTGGTTGTTCGTTCGCTGACCTCTGCAGCGGCTCCGGCACCGGCTCCAACACCGACTACAGCAACGGCACCGTTCGTAACGTTCGACGATCGATTCGACTGGTCCAGAGAAAATGAATAGCAATTTAATTGTTCGAAATTTCAACCATTACCATCGATCAAGAAAAGTTGCCCTATATCTCGATGAAACTTTCTAACGCATAGTCGATTACTGTTTCTAGTGACGAGCTTAACAAGTAAATTCCGAATATTTTGCTTTTAATACAAATTCTACAAGGATCACAAATACAATGATATTATTTGGTACCAATTAGCTGCTAGAATAGCTTCTCTGTGCTCCTCCCGAGTGTTCTCTCAGGTTCTTCGTAAGTTCTCTCTAACTTCTTCGCAGGATCTCTCTTAAATCTTCTTAGCTTATTAGCGTAGAAGTTAGAGAAAACAATGACTCGAAGAAACCGACTGTAGAATTGTGTCAGAAATTCGAAGAATTAACGTAGCAAGGTGGTAATTTTGAGAATTCTACGATAAGCTCTGAACTGTAAAGGAAGAAAAATGTAAACTGATTACAGGTTGTCCAGGCGGCGCCTCTCCCCGTACCTGTCCAGGTGCGTAGCAAGAACGATGGCTCGGGGGTGGCAGCTTCCGTATCGGGTAAAGAAATTAATTACATTAACTCTGTGTTCGGAACAAGCGTAATCGTAGCAAATCTTCCGTAGTAATATCGGATACGTTAACTGGGCAAAACGACGGAAGCAAAAAAGAAGGAGAGAACATCTCGTAAATTTCTTGAAGCGTTCACTTCCCTCCTGAAAGCTGCAATCGATGAAACTAGTTTGAAAAAATAGAGAAGAACGTTCTCGTTGAACGAGGACAAGTGTTTCTCAGGGAAATCGGTCCACGGTCTATAGTCTATACTTCTGTACAATGAGAGTTCACGAGAAGCCGATTACGTTGGAGGAGTGGTTGTTCTCGTCCAGTTTCGACCAGCTCGTTAGTTGGTACAGTTTGGATTTAACGTAGAAATCGAGAAGTAGCAGAAAACTCAGTGGTCTGTGAGCGACTGGTTGTTCGTTCGCTGACCTCTGCAGCGGCTCCGGCACCGGCTCCAACACCGACTACAGCAACGGCACCGTTCGTAACGTTCGACGATCGATTCGACTGGTCCAGAGAAAATGAATAGCAATTTAATTGTTCGAAATTTCAACCATTACCATCGATCAAGAAAAGTTGCCCTATATCTCGATGAAACTTTCTAACGCATAGTCGATTACTGTTTCTAGTGACGAGCTTAACAAGTAAATTCCGAATATTTTGCTTTTAATACAAATTCTACAAGGATCACAAATACAATGATATTATTTGGTACCAATTAGCTGCTAGAATAGCTTCTCTGTGCTCCTCCCGAGTGTTCTCTCAGGTTCTTCGTAAGTTCTCTCTAACTTCTTCGCAGGATCTCTCTTAAATCTTCTTAGCTTATTAGCGTAGAAGTTAGAGAAAACAATGACTCGAAGAAACCGACTGTAGAATTGTGTCAGAAATTCGAAGAATTAACGTAGCAAGGTGGTAATTTTGAGAATTCTACGATAAGCTCTGAACTGTAAAGGAAGAAAAATGTAAACTGATTACAGGTTGTCCAGGCGGCGCCTCTCCCCGTACCTGTCCAGGTGCGTAGCAAGAACGATGGCTCGGGGGTGGCAGCTTCCGTATCGGGTGTTCGCAGACGAAGCGGGTCCCAGGGTTTACGATCGCCCGCCGCAAAGAGGCCACTCTCCGCCCCTGTCGCCCTTCAGGGCTGGCTACACAAACAGGGCTCCGAGGGTCTCATGCTCTGGAAGAAACGGTGGTTCGTCCTCTCCGAGTACTGCCTCTTTTATTACAAAGGTCAGAACCTTTTTCATTTTCTTCCGTTTCTGTCTCTGGTTATATTACGTGTCACCTTTTTTTTCTCCCGCGAATATGGTCTCCCCTCTTTTTTTGTTGGGTCGGTGCACGCTCTTTTATGTTCAGCTTTGGGACGACACCGAGCATGATTTTTCAACGGGAAACCAGACGACTCGTGATTCCACTGGTTTCGTTCAGAATACCTGTTCTGTTTTAATTTTTTTCCTTGCGTTCCGTGTTTTGTTTAGATAAAGTTGCAAACGTGAATAGTAAATTTTTGTTTTTTCAAATTTGTTACATACTAGTCTTTTCAACGAGGTTCTTCGCGCTGAACGGCAGCGACTGTAATGTTGGTGTTTCTATTTCCGGAATTTTCAAGAAAATATTCGCCAGAGACGTTCCTATTGTCGCGTCGATCTCTGAATCCTCGTCCTTTCTTTCAGCATCGCGAGATGCCAAAATGTAGAACAGTAGCAAGTATTTAAGTAGTTCAATACCGACGCATCACTTTTCTTAACGAAGCTGTACATATTGTTCAGGAGTCGTATATCTTTTCCCTCGTTGTAATAAAAGTAGCAGTACAAACTTTTAATCGATGTTTCGATGGTCGCTTCCCTCGCGGGAAAGGAGAGTGGCAGTAGTATTAGTAAACAGTTGGTCAGACAACATCTCCTAACTTGTTTTCACCGTTCGCGCAACAAAGTAATGGAGAAGCAATTACATATTTCTGTTACGCGGTATATTCTTTACATGGGTATGACAAAATACGTCGTTCAATATTTTAATGGGAAAACTTTCGAAGCTTTGAATTTTCAAGGCAAAAAGTATGTACCGAATATAATAAAGTTTTTAACAGATTCCGCCCGTACGAAATAAAAATATTTAAGGGGACGAAAGGGAGCGAGAGAAAGCGAAATGTATTTGATTGTTCGCTTTCGTTGTTCTCGCGAACGTCGATGAAATTTGAATTTCGACGAGAGGATTCTAATGAAATCAACAATTTTTCTTGCCCGCTCATCGCCCGCAGCCAGATTTTGGCACGGTTTCAACTCTCATCTGGCTGGGCTCGTTGTTTTTTACCGGTACATTCGACCATTTCCAATTTCCGACCGTCATGATGCATCCCTCCCTTTCCCATTCGCCCTTAACTCCCATCTACCAGATCGTTTCCGGGGAACACTAATTACACGAGTTTCTTGATTTCCCGTACTTACGTACTTCTTCCAGACCTTTTACATTCTCTCCCCTAATGTTCGTTTCTTTTTCGATGTCGCGCAGTATGCACTGTTTCCCGTGCAACTTTTTGATTCCGCTTAAAATCGAGATAAAAATCGGTTAATATATCGCTGTGTTAGTAGGAAATTATACAAATTCAGGTTAATTGGGTCAACGCTTTAACGAGGGTTTATTTATGCGAGTACATGACTTTTGCAATTTCGCGTTTCTGTACACGTAATATTTCAAAACTTCGTGTCTTTCTTTATTCCTTTATATTTTTTTCATAAATTTCGTTGTTAAAAATTTTCATAGTTAAATAACGAGTACTGTGTAAACTTTTCCTCCATCTTCTTTGGATCTATTTTCGTCCCTTTTACCGTTAGCAATTGTTCGCTTGAAATGAGCGATGCACGGAAGAATCTGTTCGAACAGAACGGAACAACGCATAAATTGTTGTAAAAGTGTACTTGTTCACGCTACGTCGTACATCTTTCGCTCCTCTGTTCGCATGCGTGTCCGTTCTGGCATTCGCGACGAAATTTACAACACTTTTTATCTTCTTCCTTTTCCTCTGTCCGTGATTCAGCACACAGGATTTATGTTCGTGTCTCCAACAGGCGCGAACGAACGCGTGCCAGTGGTTGCTTCAAGATTTTTCCAATGCAACGAATCGAACTTTTCGATTTGTCAGACAGAGAAATCATTTCGCGTTTGTCCGTATCTCGAAACTTTTGTGATTGATGAGCAACCGGAGCCTTCTTGACTGTTCTATCAAAGTCACGTTTCAATTCAGCCCTTTTATCATCGAAACTATATACCCGTTGCTACCGTTTCGTTATGGATAGATTGGAATTTCTACGTAACCGAAACAATTAATCCCGCAGTTCGATTAGTCAGAATAGATACTCGTTGCGTCAATAGTAAACTCTCCCTGAGTAATTTCCGACGGTAAATTTGCGAGCGAAAGAGTATATAGGGTAAGAAAACTTGCGTTTAAATATTTCATTATGTACCCGCAAATGTTGAATCGATATTAAATAGTTGATAAAAATTTGTTCGCAGGTCCAGAAGAGGAGAAATTGTTGGGATCGATATTGTTGCCGTCGTACAAGGTCACCGTTTGCAAGCCCGAGGATAAAGTTAACAGAAAATTCGCTTTTAAAGCCGAACACGCGAATATGAGGACGTACCACTTCGCAGCGGATAGTTTCGAGAGCATGAATCAATGGGTGAACGCGCTAACTCTAGCGACTCTCCTTCAGGATCCGAACCCGTAAGCTTCCATTTTTTATCAAAAAAATATAAAACATTTTTTACGGTAACATTTTACGGTGATCGAGACTTTTTGATACAACGTTTGATAGAAAATTCTATTTGCTTCTTATTTTATGACTTCTTTCTTATCTCCGCTTTGCCTCGTATCAGTGTCGCCCATCATTTCCTATTTCTCATTTTTCATTTCCCATTTCTTTTTCTAATTGTTCCGTCGAGTTTCGTAAGATTTCATCCTCGTCAAAAGAAACGCGTTCCCCGAACGAATAAAAGCATACTCCATTTCCGGTTGAAGCATTCCTCCTTTCTGTGTCCCGTTAAATTACTTTGGTCTCTGATCCTCGGCGAGGAAAGTGGAAAATTATGAATTAAACTCTTCTCCAAAGGTAATTGATTATAATTCCGAAACCCTAGCTTAGTATTTCATTAATTCGGATTCTTTCATCCGACAATTGGGCGGTAATATTTTTCTTTGATACAGCAAAATTAGGTCGCGATGCGCTACGGTAATGAAAGAAACAAAAGCTCGTGAGGTTCTTTCCTGAATTTTTTGCAAACCGACGAAAAAAATATATTCGCAGTCAATTTTATCGTCGTTCTTTTAAATCGAATCGGAAACTTTGATTGTCCTCTGCGAAAAATAAATTCCGGTTCGTCTGGCGTAAAATGGTCCCTACTTATCCGGTTGAAAAGTATCGCGGACAGGGACGATGAAACTTTCGGTTTCGCGTAATCATGGCGCAACGCTCCCCAACGGGTTAGTTTGCGTCTGTCAAAGTTACATACGGATGTCGTCAGTCTGGCCGACGTTTCGTCCGAAAACTACAAAATGCACAGTTAATTTGCAATGTCGATTACAGGAAGTTGCTAGCTCGAGGCAACCTATCTGTGGGCTAGGGTTGCTCGTTCTCAAAGCTAATGACTCCACGACCACGACGAAACTTTCTCAACTCTAGTTTGTCGATCTTTTAGTTTGCGCAGCGGTCTTTCGAATTAACTGTTTATCGTGCCGTGGTCCTGATCTTTCGTAAATTGGTATTCCGAGACTGTATTTTGCAATTTTGGCACTTTGAAGCATCGAAAATCTGAGATATTGGTAAATAATACGATGCCAGCCAGAGAAATGATCTTGCAGATTTGGAACGTCCAAGATTAAAACGCTTAGAAATAACGAAACTTTTCTTTTGCTAAGTATCTACCTAGCTTTACAGACTATGACAACGGTCAGACTAAGGTGTACGACGTAACGTAGGAATTTAAAATTGTGCTTCAGCGGTGCCGGCGAAGCAGCGGTGATGATCGAAATAGCGGGTCAGCAAGACGGCGAGCGAAGCGCGAGGCCAAGCGTGTCCTCGATATCCTCGATCCTGAATCACAGCGCGGACGACAGCGACTCGGGTTTCCACGGTTTCCAGTCTCGAGATGATCCTAGCCACGCGTCCAACAACAATTCCAGTCCAAATAGCGTTAACACTGCCTCCTTCCCGAATCTCAGTGGCAGCAACAGCAACAGTACCGCCAATAACAATAACAACAATACCAATAACAATATCCTGATAACCTCCAACAACAATAACGCGAACGAAATTCAACCTATGGTGAACGGTTGGATCCAACAGCAAACGCCGTACATCCAAGCAAGCACGTCGCAGCAACAGCAACAATACGGTCAATTGATGCCGTCGCCTCAGCAGTTGCAGCAAACGCATCCTCACCAGGCGATGTTGCATCAACACGTTTCCCATCAGAACGCGCAATCGGGTCATCAGGTTCACCAACACAAGCACGTCGTCCAGCAGCAGCAGCAGAGTCAGCCGCATTTGGCCAGCAACGTTCAGACTGTCCAACCGATGCCCAGGAAGTTCGGACAACCGATTTACGCGAACGCCCCTCCGAAACCCCGAAGACTGACCGATGGCTCGACCGAGTACTCGACGCCGTCCCCTTCTCAAAGCTAATGACTCCACGACCACGACGAAACTTTCTCAACTCTAGTTTGTCGATCTTTTAGTTTGCGCAGCGGTCTTTCGAATTAACTGTTTATCGTGCCGTGGTCCTGATCTTTCGTAAATTGGTATTCCGAGACTGTATTTTGCAATTTTGGCACTTTGAAGCATCGAAAATCTGAGATATTGGTAAATAATACGATGCCAGCCAGAGAAATGATCTTGCAGATTTGGAACGTCCAAGATTAAAACGCTTAGAAATAACGAAACTTTTCTTTTGCTAAGTATCTACCTAGCTTTACAGACTATGACAACGGTCAGACTAAGGTGTACGACGTAACGTAGGAATTTAAAATTGTGCTTCAGCGGTGCCGGCGAAGCAGCGGTGATGATCGAAATAGCGGGTCAGCAAGACGGCGAGCGAAGCGCGAGGCCAAGCGTGTCCTCGATATCCTCGATCCTGAATCACAGCGCGGACGACAGCGACTCGGGTTTCCACGGTTTCCAGTCTCGAGATGATCCTAGCCACGCGTCCAACAACAATTCCAGTCCAAATAGCGTTAACACTGCCTCCTTCCCGAATCTCAGTGGCAGCAACAGCAACAGTACCGCCAATAACAATAACAACAATACCAATAACAATATCCTGATAACCTCCAACAACAATAACGCGAACGAAATTCAACCTATGGTGAACGGTTGGATCCAACAGCAAACGCCGTACATCCAAGCAAGCACGTCGCAGCAACAGCAACAATACGGTCAATTGATGCCGTCGCCTCAGCAGTTGCAGCAAACGCATCCTCACCAGGCGATGTTGCATCAACACGTTTCCCATCAGAACGCGCAATCGGGTCATCAGGTTCACCAACACAAGCACGTCGTCCAGCAGCAGCAGCAGAGTCAGCCGCATTTGGCCAGCAACGTTCAGACTGTCCAACCGATGCCCAGGAAGTTCGGACAACCGATTTACGCGAACGCCCCTCCGAAACCCCGAAGACTGACCGATGGCTCGACCGAGTACTCGACGCCGTCCCCTGACCCCGACTACAGGAAGTCGCCAGTGTCTCCGGACGTAACGGTGACCAGCAAGAGTCCGATGTCGGACTACGACAGGAACAGCATGATCTACGGGACGAGGATGAGTCAACCTTCTCAGCAGAGTCTGAGAACGGACAAGTCGGGCTTGAATTATGGCTACACCGGGCAAGCGCAGACCGAGAGGCGCACACCGGACACCTACGGACGCAGCGCGGTGAAACCGAGATCGAACAGAGGAAACGGAGACTACGAGGAAGTTTATGGCGCCCCTCAACTTTACCAGAGGCCGGCTGGTCCTGTTGGATATACCAAAGGAGCTTCACCGGCTCCTATACCGATTCCTCTCTACGCTCAGCAACACCAACAGTACCAGCAGCAGATTCATTCTCCTGTCGCGGCCGCTAACGGTATGTTCGTGTTCGTTCAACCGGTGGATACTCGCTGCCGAACGACGTATCAATGGGGAATATATTTTTTTAACGTTTCGAACACCGCCTTACTCGTGCGTTAATCTTACGACGCTCGAATTTCACTCGTATTATACAAACTTCTTGTTTAGCGACAGAAAATGTTTGGAAAGATCAAACGTTCCTTTTTAAAGAAAGCATTACAACTACCAAGAGTTTCGAGCTGGCAGTCGAAGTATTAATCTTGTGCATCGCACTTAGTGCGCGTTATCAAACTCCCGCTTAACCCAATTCTTTATGAAGAATTAATTTTTTGCTCGGTGTTGCATTTAGATTCTACTTTAACGTCCGCCGTGGTGTACAGGGTGAGTCACGCGATTGAGACGAATTATGTCTCGAGATTGATTAGATATAAAAAAATTATGCAGGTGAAAATTGGGTGGTACAAAAAGGTCTACTTTATGTAACGTTATTCTTTTTACAAATATAATGATGCAATTGATACAAAAATCAGATACATCGGTTAGTTACTAATTGTATTTACAAGTTTCGTTATACTTTATAAAATGAAATTTAATGGTAGCTCGTTATCAGTGATCCCGCAGTAGCGTTCGACACGTTCGGTGAAAATAGGACGATAGGAAAAAGGACACGAGAGATGTTTTTAATTGGATTTGATTCAGTGCCAATAATGAGACAACCGAGAGCGCAACCACCACCGCGGCCGCACAGCGCGGACTTTTTGGAATACGAGGCGAACAGGAAGCCGCAACAACAGCTGCCGCCTCAATGCGAAGAATCGCTGAATCAACAAAGGCGCCCACAGAGGCCTAAATCGAGTTTAGACATTGTCACTCCGTCGGAAGCTGCTAACGATGGATATTTCTATTCCGAGGAAAGGTAAACCGGTGCTGTGTGGCTTTTTTGTCGTATCGTTACATTTTATAACGGTACGAGCGATATTCTTTATCGAGCTTACGTAGCGTCTACACCGACACAAAGTATTTAGCAAGTTTCGCGTTATTTTGTGATTGAATGTTGTTCAGATACGCGGCACAGATGCGGCAGTCGGCGGTCTACCTCCATCAGACGCCGCAGCATCACCAGCAACAAAGGAACCAATCACTTTCCCGGGCGACAATGCCGGCGAAAGCAACGGGAATTCGCGATGGCAGAAGCGACGACGGTAGAATAGCTACGTTACCGGAAGCTTCCTGCACAGGAGCGAGGCGAGGGCAACGCGAACACGTTCATCAGCAGCACGTGATGCCGCATCAATCGCTCCAGAGGCATACCGAGTGAGTCACTACCTTGGCTCGTCGATCTGCTTCTTTGCTTATCGTTAGACACAAACCGGTAATTTTTAAGTAAACGCGTCGCCTTCCAACTACTTAACTCCGCTATCAGTAATCAAATTTCTAATCATCCTATTACTTTAACTGTCGTACCTTAAACTATCACGGTTTAAAAATATGATATGGAAAACGTTAAGTGGAAACTATTTAATATTAGTTAAAAAGCGAACGACAGCGTCTAGCTTCTCAGCTGCAGATCAAAGACCGTGAATCGTCGCTGACGCGTTTGCAATCCGCGTTTCCGCTCGAGAACGGTTAATTCGAAGCGAAATGATAAATTAGAACCGGGAGAGAGTCGAGAATTTGTCTGATTTTGTTCCAGACTGAACAGCAACGAGGCAAAACTGAGGAGATCGTTGCGGGAAAAGAGCTACGAATCGAGTAGTCGGGAATTGCTGACTCACGTGGAGGACGGAACGGTGCCTCGTCGAATTCCACGGGATTACGAGTCGTCGATAGGGTGGGGTAGACCGACGACGAGTCACACGAGTCAGGGGACTCACGTGGGCCAAGCGTGTCACGCTCCTCACGCCGCTGCCAGACGATGGAACGAGCAGCAACAGTTCTGCAGGTCGGCGTCCGCGAGGCTTCCGAGGACGCGACATCCGGCAGCCTTGGACCCCGACGACGACGACTACGGCGAACGATCTTCCGAGCAGGACTCGAGGGATGGTGAACGCAAGATACAACAGGTTAGTCGTCCACCTTTTCTTCCCATTTCCAAAAATTTACAATATCCTCGAACGTTTCGATCCAACCAGTTTCTCGTCACCTCTGGACTGTCATAAAACTTTCAACGCGTTAGTGATCTCCTATTCGTCTACCGTAAACTAAAATATTCACGATCTCGTAACCGGAATAGTTGGGTTAACGTACTGCTCTATATTACATGGACACGGACGTATAAGTATCGAAAAAACGAGGACCGTCGACGATTTCGAAGTGCTATACTAAAAGTGTCATAAATTCTTTATTACCGGTACGGAAATAAACGTCTGCGTAGCTGATTGTGAACATAACATTTCATGTTTTAAGACACTGTGTTTTATAAACCAATTTTTCTTCAAATTCCTAGTATATTCGTCATAAAGTAAATGAAAAACATGATTAAGTGGCAAAAGAAATATCAGACGCTCGAACGCGATTAAACAGTTTGAATCGCGGTATTTAAAGAGTCAACACGGAAACTCGGCAACTAGTCGAAAATTGAAATAGCAGAAAATGAAAGTGAGATCGATCGTGAGATCACGAACCAAGTCGTGGTGGTTATGGAACGTCGGCAAGAATAAAGTTTAGAGCGTTGAAAAAGTTATTGGATCGCGGATAATGAGTAACGACTTTCGAATTACGAGTCTAAAGAGTTAACGTGTAAAAGTTTAAGAGCGAAAAGTAAATTGTTCGCAAATTCGTGTCAAAAATTTCAAGTAGCTGATTATGATAAGTGCAATGACATAATACATACAAGTCAAACAGGAGATTGTGTAAGCAGTGACGCGTTCGTGTGACGTATGTATGATCGAATGTGAACATTCGTTCGAGAAAGAATATCAAAAGTGTGTCGCATTCGTCGATCGATGGAATCTCGTTGTGCAATAATTACGTAGAAAGATTTAGTATTTCGCGTATGCTTACAAATGTCAATTACATTAATTGCATCAGTTTTTCTGTCGTGTTTCTTCAAAAATAATTCGAGGCCAAACTTTGCTCGCGGCTTCGTAATTTACGACTTTATACGGGTATCAAATTTAATAACTAACAAACTTTTAATTCAATTTTGTTACAGCAGTAAATTGAACTCGTTTCGTTGAAAACTTTTCCGCTCGTTTTCTAGTAGTGTCTCAAAAATCCTTAAAAGACAGGAACACGTTACCTTTGTCTTCGTTTATCGCGCGTTTAAAAATGACCTGCCTCGTGAAAGATACGCGACGACCAACAAAATGCCTAAGGAACGCGTTACAAATCTTCAAACAGAGAAGGCTTCACAAACAGGTGACTCATAAATCGTCCCTTCACCTTCCTCCCGTAATCGTGAACCGCGTTCGTCGTCTGCTTGATGGACAGAACAATTTCGTAGGCTGCATAGCTCTCGGGTAGATGATTCACGCAAAGGTGCAACCTGTGCCTGGGTACACTCGCGTGTAACGATGTCTTCCCTCGGTTGAAGAGAAAGGTGGGGGAAAATGGTCCCCCGACTCGTTCCTGCTGCAATTTCGGTATAGTTTCGAATACTATGCTGCTATTTTGGTTAGATTCTATTCAGTCTCTCCCTAGTATTTTCCAAAGCTCTCGCTAGGTTCTCCTGTGGGAAATTTCTTTACCTCTGCGCGTATCTTTAGAAGAATGAATCGGACGAGTGGTAGGAGACTTGTTCCCCTATGTTTCTTTTTAACCGAAAGGAGACTGCTATGCACGAGTGTATACGTGCATTTCAGTCACGTCCAATGTGCCAGCGTTTCGTGATTCTGCTTTCACTACGATCCATTCGATCCTCGTCATCGTTGAAAGAAGCTATTTGCGCTTCTTTGAACGTGAAACATCGCGCATGATACTTCCTTATGTCTTCACGCGCGTGCGTTGAATTCTAACGATTCTCTTTGTGTTCTTTGAAATTTTTAGATTAACGTCTTCTCGCTGTTTTTGCTAGTTTTCTCGAGGTAACGGTACAGCGGAACATCTTTCGCGTTAAAATATAACCAAAGTCGAAATTGCACGCTTGTCATATTTAGTAATATTTTCCTATTTAGAACAATAGCGAACTAAAATTCCCATAAGAATGTATGTACGAAGAGCGAAATAACTTGCGAAATCGTAGACGATCAGTCTCGTTTAAACAAAGGCGTCTTTCATCGAACGATGAACGACCGAAAATGTTAAGCAAAGACGGGAGGTTAGAAAGCGGTGTTGCGTGGTTGCAGCGAGAAGAGTCGATGAAGCGGTTGCTGGAATGGAAGCAGCGGATGCTGCAGTCGCCTCTGACCCGGAAGCCATCCGGTTCTGCAAACAGAGGCAGGGTGCAGAACGAGCTGTCGAGCTATTACAAGCAGCAAGCGTTGCTGGAGCTGGCTGCCCACGAGGCATCGGTGGCCGAGAGTCGTCACTCGCGAAGAAGAGAGGATGGACATCGCCCGCACGCTCGAAGCAAAAGCACCGACGGCCGTCGAACTGTCGCCAACGTTTCTCGATACAACAGCTACTCCAGCGACGACGAAGGTAGGGATACCTCGCCTGAACTTATTATCTGACTTGTGGCTTCTACGATTCGAGCCTCTCGTGGGACCCTTCTGTTCTTTTTCCCGACCGTGTTTTTCTTCTTTAACCTTTTCGTTACGACCCATTCGTTCGACGTTCTTATTGCCCTTTCTTTTCGCCTTATCGCCAGATTCGGAAAAATGTCCTGCTGGTAGACTCTTCTTTCTTCGTTTAGACATACTTATTTTACGTTCGCTTATAAGGACGTACTTTTACTTGAATTTTAAACTTTAAACTGATGTAACGAAAAGGTTGAACGCGCTGCTTAGATTTTGGCAACTACGAACAAATCGTCAAAAGTCCCACCAGAGGACTTGAATTTTGTTTACGATAAATCTAAAACGCTATTTTCCGCTACTTTGCTTGTTCTGTTACTCGAGTACGTCCCAACTACGGGTGTAATAATTTGAGAAACAAATTGTCGGTATACTGCTTCGCTATTTTTTCAAACACCCTGTTGCTATCCGAATTATAGAGAGATTTTTGAAGAATCGCGAAATCGTTTGAACGTTGATGATTTTTTGGAAGAACGCTGTATCGAAGATTTGTTGGGTTCCACGAGCGAGCTCCGCGATCGAAGGAATTCTGCAGTAGATAGCTAGACTGTGCTGCGAACGATAGCAAACTCTAACACGTAAAACCGCTCTAACACGGTCGAGCCATCGACACGAGTGTTCTCCGAATAAAAACCGCTTTTGTATATGGTGTTGCACGAGCCGTGACAAGTTACCAAAGACCTCGTACGAGAAACGAGAGAGACACGTTGATTGCGCATGAAACGACCAAATGATTTTCTAAAAGCCAGTGTTTTTGTCTTTTTCGTCTGGCTACGCTGGTCCTTCGTTCCGCGTACTTTTTTTCTTATTGATCGTCGATGAACAATCGCTGCCGCGGAAGCTCCGGTAGGTACCTCTAGTGACTTACTGGAAATACGCGCAAAGCGAGGGACCAGTGTAATAATTATCTTATAAAAGTCGAATTAATTTGCGTGAATTATTACCTACCACCTAGGTGTTAACTAGCGATTAATTTGCGAAGTCAAAGTCTTTGAAACTAACACCGAACGTGTGATTCGAACGATACGGAACAGAAACGAAGCATAAATATTAATGAGATCGAGAACGAGCTTGCTACGAGCTCAAAACTTCCTCGTCCGTGCTCCTCCTCTCTGTCTCTAGCTGTTTCTCCTTCTATCGCCTCTCCGAAAGGGGCCGACGAAGTTTGTAGATAGCGAGGATCTTTAAAGAAAGGTGAAAGGAACGGAGAGATAGATGAAATAAAAAAAAAAAGATACGAGTGGAATCTGCAAACATTCTGTCCGCGGGGCTCCTTCTCTTTGCTGCTGTCGGGTCTGGGCTGTGACTGGTGAATGGGAACGATTAACACCTTTGGAATTTAACTAAAGCGAAACCGTCCGTTACGGCCTAACACTCGTACTAAGAAACGCCGTACTACTTTGCGACATGTGGGTCAGCATGGCATGCCGAGGATTATATCACTAACACTGTATCGTAGAGCTGCGTTCAACCTGCGGCTGCCATTTAACTTCCAGCTCGTATTGTGTGTCTTTGCTATCGAGTTAATCGAGGACACGGCGGATCGATTTTTCGATCGTTGCGATTATTTGTTCGTTCGAAAGACACTGTGTCTTCAGGAATGTTAAGATCTCAAGAGAATTAACCGTCGATTCGTTTAACGAAGATATACGATTCTCGTACCGATGGATACGATTTAACTCGTTAAAGGTTGTAACCATCTTTGCTTTATGTTTTATTAAAAGTTATTCTGTAAAATATATGGAACGAACGTAATGAATTCGATAAATTCTCGCAACGATCAAGATCGATCCTAGCTTGGTAACCTAGCTTGGAGTGCGTCGAAGGGTTCTGGGTTGTCATTAATCACACTCGTGAGTAACGAACGTCCTCGTGTGTTTGTTTTGTAACGGACGAATCAGAGCTGGGAGATGTCCGGAGGAAGCGCACGCGCAGACCCTCGCATGCAGGAAGGAGCCCCCGGCAGCTCGGAGACAATCGTTCGTCGGGGATCCCGATTCAGGACTCGGTTCCTGGAAGCGGCCTTCAGAATCAGAACGTCCTCCGAGGTTCGAACGACCATCGAACGAGTCCCACCGCTTCCATGCTGACGAATCTGGGCGGGATTCCACCCGACGCTGGCTACGAGGAAATCAGCTTCTCGTCCGGCCAGAGAACCGAGCGTGCCCCGTCTTATCTTCCTCCGGAAGCGCAAAGGTCCATCGGGAGACGCGACCAGCAAGAACTGGAAGCTTCTTTCGAAGAAGACAAGTACAAGAGGAAACCTTCCGGCATCCTGAAAAACTCTGCTGTGTATGGCGCCGAACAAGTCAACAAAAGTCCAAACTCGTCGAACAGTTACCCAGCCGAGTCTTGGTCCTCTTCGAAAACCGTTCAATGGACCGCGAAGAAGGAACGAGACGATTGGGATTGCAACATCGACGAGAGCAAGGTCATCAAGGAGTTCTCGTATCAGTACATTAAACCCAAGGAAGAGGCGGAATCTTCGGAAGAGAGGTCTCCGGTTAAACC